AAGCTCTACGTGGCAAAGAGCGAGTCGTAACCGTAGCTAACATTGATTGGGGACTCGGCATGTGCCAAGTACTGTGCACCTGTCGCAGCACCTCTGGGAGGCACGCCCTGTCATCATTCCCGTTACCGAGGCACAGAGTGGCCAGCGGTCACCTAGCCCACGGTGGTGGCGCCCGGATTGGAAATGGAGGTGGTGTGGCTCCCGGGGTTCTCGGTCACCTGGCTGTGCCCCCTCGTGAAGGTGTGGGGAAAGCCGGGGACCGGGAGCCCAAGAAACCTGACACGATCAGCTCTGGGCGCCCGGCCCACCCTGCGGGCGGCCACCAGTCAGATCAGGCCAGATCGTAGTCACCAGAGAGCCTGAAGGTTTCCGGTTCCGCCGGGCTCGCTGAGTGGGGACCGGGCACGGTTAACGTCACCCCGGGTGGTGTGGCATGGCTCACGGGCCCCACAGGAGCCCGGGCCCCCTCACTCTTCCCCTGCCTGAGCAGATCGCTTTGTGCCTCCGCGTCCTCATGTCCTTTCACAAGCTATACTATGGGCTACTATTTGGTAAGCACTTGCTATGCGCTGGGCACTCTCCAGAAGATCTGTCTCCTCTTCATGGCCACCCAGAAAGGTATGCCTCATTAGTCCCTTTTAAAGATGAGGCGTCTGAGGCTCAGAACCCACTACCTTGGCAAAAGGCCCCAGAGCCAGTGGTTGAGCAGGTTCCAACCAGACCTGTTTAGATGCCAGAGCTGGGGCGATTTTCTATCTCTAGCTCACTTTCTTGAAGAGAAATATCTATGCATGCCAGACGCTTCCTGGGCATCATCTCTTCTTGAAGCATCCCTGAGATGTCCTGACCCTGACCCCCATTTTACAAATAATGAAATAGGTTCAGAAAGTTTCTGTAGGTTGTCCAAGGTCCCACAGCTCAGTGGTGTTAGGTCCGGTTTTCAAGCCGGGATCCGTCTACCGCCGAGCCCTCCCTCTTTCTGTGACGTCATACGTATGCAACGACAGTTAACTAAATGCAACAATTTTCTAGGGGAGGTCACCTGGCTGTTGTTGTCTCCCAAAGAGCAGAGAAAAGGGAGCGTTTTAAAGCCGTAGTTGAGAGAAAGCAGGCAAGACCCTTGGAATAACCTCTGGATTAGGATAGCTCTAAGGCTCGAGAGCAAGAAGCCAGCAGGGGCTAAGGAACTCGGTTCATTGGTCTGTCCATCCATCCATCTATTCATCCATCCCCATTCTTTGAGACGCGATCAAGAGCCCTGGGGTGTTCTGCTGGCCTCTTTGCTCCGTAAGTCTGTGTCACCAGTCCTGGGAGTGACCGCAGGGAAGGGAGGTGCCTCTGAGAGTAAGTGGTAATTCCTCAGGGGGGCTTCCGGCTCCATCAGTGCGAGAAGTTCTCCTCACTGTGCCCTCTCCTCCATGGGGCAGAAGGCAGGTCCCACGGAACATTCTAGGGCCTGGCATGTCGGGACTCTTTCAGCTCAGGGAAAGACGTGAGGCCAGAGGACCTGGATAGAAGGGTTGGCAATTTGTTGGGATGACTCCGAGACCCCCTCACCCCTCTGGACCTAGATTTACACGGGAAGGAGCCCCCACTTCATCTCTATCTCCCACACTCATGTCTACATGGCAGAGGGGCATTTAGGGTGTGGTGGGGGGGAGGAGGAAGGACAGGAAGACAGATCACTCAGGAATCCCACTTGGCTTTTGTGGCTGCTGGTTCCACTTTATTGATTAATATTTCCCCAAATCGCCAGCCTCGGATGATCGGTCCAAAAGGCCGCTCAGCGCATTTTGGGGATTTATCCTGCAGGATCTGCCCAGGAACCTCTGCCCACTTCTGATTCTGGTCCCACCCTGCACAGCGCTCTGGACCCTGTGGCGTGAGCTTTTTAAATTTGGATCTCCCCCTTCCCTAGACTCGCCATACCACTGGCTCCCAATTCCCTTGGAGGATCTCCAGTCCTCATGGCTTTATCTGCTACTTCTCCAACACTGCTCAACAGTGAGGCCTCTGTGGTGGCAGCCCGTATAATTCGGTTCAGCAAATATTTACTGGGCCCGACCGTGCCAGGCACCACTTGAGATCCAGGAGGCAAAAGTGGCTTGCAGCCAGCCGCCTGGGTCTGAAGCCCGAGTCTCCCGTTACCGGCTGAGCAGCGCTGGCCCAGGGAACTTCTCCTTAATGTCACCTACGGGGAGGCTGCCCTGTGTGTCCCTTTCCTGTGTGCTCGCTCAGGCAGCCCTTACCAGGCCTCCTTTAGGGGGAGTTACCGCCCATTTTACAGATGAAAAAACCGAGCCTTGAGACTTTCCCATTTATCCTAGTTCACCCAGCTAGCCTGGCGGAGTTGAGATTTGCACTCCCGTGGGTTTGATTTCAACACCCGTATTTCTACAACATTCCGTGGACTCGCTTGGGCCCGCCAATGTCTCAGAGCCTCAGTTTCCCCAGATGTGAAGTGGGAACAATTTTATTAGTGACCTTAGACACACATTGTGAGAATTAGGTGAGGGCTTTGGAAAACGCTACCCAGTGTTGTTTTTTTAATGGTTATGATTATGAAGTGGGGTCTCCAGGGGTCCCAGGAAACTGCTCTGCTCTGTGGAATGGTAACTGATCATATGACCTTATTGCAACCTCAGGAAAGCCCTTCCGGAGTAGGCACCTGTAAGCTCTGCAGCGAGCGGGGCTGGCCGGGCCCCTCCCCACTCTGGCATCCTACCATGAGCCTGGGACCCCACAACTGGCCATTACTTCTGTGTTTGGATTCCTTAGAACCCCATGAGGGTGTCCTGGGGAGGAGGAGAGTCAGACAAATCACAGAATGTTCGGGGAGGCCCTTCAAGACGATCTGGTTGAAAATCCAACCCGATCGCAATACACAAGTGGAAGCCGAGGCCCAGACAGGGACAGGAACTTGCCCAAGATCACACAGCTGGTTAGCGACAGAGCTGGGGCATCCAGGCAGCTGTTAGGGCTCTCCCTGTGGGGCTCAGGATTTGTCGATTGCGTTCACTTCCCAGCTTCTCCAGCACGGCAGCTCAAGGCCCTGGCACAGGAGCTGGGAAGGACCCTGGGAAGGTCCCTGCAGGGGCGGAAGGGAGGCAGCAAGGTCAGGAGGGTTTGGGGAGGGGAGGGAGGTCCAGGCACTGTTTTCTGAAAACCACTGGATATGGGAGCTGATGATATAATCTGGGGGCTCCCCAAACTGGCCAAGGGCCCCAGGACGCCCACCTGTAGCAAGCCAGGAGTCTTCTGTGTTTGGATTCCTGTTTATAAATGAGCTCCCTGGGCTCCCAAAGCGCTTATCGTGGCCGAGCCCCTCCAGGAGGAGCAGGTCCCACTGTCCCCAGCAAAGGGGTTGGTCCCGGCCCCTTTCCCGGCCTCCATGTCTCTGGTTGACCAGCGTCCTCTGTGCTCACCGCCACCGTGGACCCCATAACAAGCACACGGGGCCCAGGCCTGGAAGATCTATTAGTGGCACTCCTGTCACCGCCCGCAGAGCAGGAGGAGAGGCAGCCAAATGCTGTGCTAATTATTCTAGCTTCCAGCAGGGTCTCGGAGGTCCCAGCCATGGTAAATCTTAACTTTCATGCTATGGTGCACCGGGATGCAATTTACTTCAAAGAGAGCATAAATCCCCACTGCGGCGTGTATCAGAGGAGTGTTACATAAAAGTGGCCCATGTGCTTCCCACCCGGGCTGCCTTCGCTCCCCCCTCCCCTCCCCTCCCCTCCCTCCCCCTCCCCCCTTTCTTGTAAGTTTGAAAAAGCCAGCCCGCGGTTGGCTACACATCTCGGACGCTTAAACGGTTATACACACATCTGCTCCCAGCCTTATAAATCACCAGGCTTGGCGACTTGGCAGTGGGAACACAGGCGAGCTCTATTTTTACCAGCACAGGCCGCAGACAGCCCCCCGGGGCCCCGCCTTTCCTAACAGCGACACCTCCTGGAGCCAGCTCCGGCCAAAGGCAGCCTTTCAGCTTTGGACCCATTTCTCAGGCTTTGGAAGATGGTCACTGACCCTGGCCCGGTCCTTCCCTCCGTTCCGTCTCTCAGCAGCCCACCCCCCCCCCCCCCCCCCCCAAGGCATCTGGGGAATTCCTCCAGCAACAAAGGCCCCCTAGGAGGCCCCGCCCCTGCGTCCCTGGCCCCAGGCGGGCTTGCCAGAGGGGCAGGCGGGCATCGCTGACGTCATGGTGATCTTCCACACAGGCTAGCACAGCTCATTAGGGTGTCAAGTGATCATGGGAATCGGGGAGGGGGCTGCCTACCCGTCTCCCCTCCCATCCCCCCAAAGCGAGGCCCCCATCCCTCCCACGGAACCCCTCCGGGGGGGGGCTGTCCAGTTGTGTTTCGAGCAATTACTTCCCCGTGAAAGACATCTGTTATCTCGGCTGACACACACGGGATGGGCGGCCCGTGTGGTCGGGGCGCGGGCCTTGTGAATCCTGGCATTGTCATCCCGGCCCCGCCTGGGAGCCAGGCGGGGTAGCAGGGGGTGCAGTGAGACAGAGGCCGGTCTGTCTCCTGTCCCCTGGCCCCCGCCCGGGGCCTCCTCCGTGCGACCTCTCCGGAGGCGGCCGTGCCAGGTCTAATGCCCCTAATGTCATCCTCGCAGATCCGTTCCTGATTCCTCGAGGCCGTCCTTCCCGTGGCTTCGCTCCCCTTGCAGCTGCCGCCGGTAGCTGGTAGCTGGTAGCCAGGCGGGCCGCAGGCTGCACAGATGGGGGGCCCCGCTCCGAAGCGGCAGCCCGGGGGAGGGCTCTGCGGGCGGCTGCGGGTGAGCACGACCCTCCCTCCCGGCGGGCCCAGAGCTGCCCAGAGGCCCCCCCTCACCAGTCACACACTGGTGACCCCTCTGAGCCTTGGTTCCCTCAGCCCCAGCAAGGAGGGGGCTGCATGGGGGGTGGATTCCCTGAGCCAGGAGCTCCCTGCCAGCCCGGACTTGGGATCCCTCCTCTGTGACCCATGTCAACACTGTATAAACGTCAGGTGTTTTTCAGAGGCCCCGGGCAAACTACCAGGATGGACTGGAGTGGAGGACAAGCACTCGGACCCGTGTCTGGCCAAGACCTCAGGCCGTCACCTCAGCTAGGCTATGGCTTTCTATTTCAACATCTCCTTTCTCCAGACAGAAACCCTGGGAAGGAGTCCCTGCCTCACCCAACCTGCATTCAGGCTTTGAGGGTGGGAAGAGAAGAAAGAAGCGAACTGGCTTTGTGCCTCCCACTAACCAGGCCCCCCCACTCCCCCCAACGCCTGGCCCACGGAGAAGCCCGCTTTCTCGAGGCCGGCCTGCCCCCCTCTCTCCCCACACCCTCTACAACGGCCACCACGTTAGCAGCACCCAGAATGGGGCTGTCACGTGGCTCATCCTTTTCCATCGACTTTGGAAGAAAAAGGTCAAGGAGAGGGTCTGAGAGATCTTCATAGACCCTCAGAAATGAGAGAAAAGAGTTAGGCACCAAAGAAAGACAAACCGCAGTCGGGTGCCTCCCCTCCCCTCCCCTC